ACGTATAATTTTTGAATAGGTTTGCCACCAAAATGGATATTGCACTTATAATCGATGATCCCAAGTGGAAACCATTCGTGCAAGGCCCTGGTGCAGTTCCTTGGACTGAGTCATTTGTGGTGGCTAGACTGCACTGCTATTTCATTTTTCTTTTTGAAGATTATGACATGCCAAAAAAACCGTTCAAAGCACAACTATATTCTTCCATTCCCCACATTTTCCTTGATTCAATGATTCAAAAACATTAGACAACCACCTGGTGCCAGTTCAAAACAAACAGTTCTTTCATGTCCCCAAAAATCAAAACCAGCCACCGGGTTGGCTGCCTCTTCCCAGGCTGGTGTGGCTCGCAAGATGTTGGCCTCCATGCCTGACCGTGCCAAGCAGATCATCTTTGACGGAGACTTTGGTGGGTCGCAGTTGGTGATGCTAGCTTCTGACATCCACCGACCCAGCTTCAAGGACCCATTTTCTCAAAACACATGATCAAGTCAACGTTGGATGTGTATTGATTGATATAGGGGCGCAACTAAAAAATGTGGGAATTGGCGTGGCAAACGCGTAAAGACCTTTTGCACTAGGACTTAGCGGCGAACTACGTTTGGATCCGACCCCTTGCAGAGAGTTTTCCAGAGGTCGTCCCAGGAGGTATCCTGTTGACGGACATTTGGCTGTATCTTGACAGGCTACTTGGCTTCAAGCTTCTCGTGCTGAAAGATGTCCCGAAGGTGAACCAAGCAGCCACGGAAGCCGGCCGCTGCAAGAAGCTTATGGGGGCATTGCGATATCTCTATCGCAACAGTGTCTTCTTATCAGATTAGATCCATGTCAATTTCCAAAGGTTTTGTTTTTGTTGTATTTTTGTTGTGCTTTGTTTTGCAATCTTGGCGTTCCAAAAAAAAATGTGGTCACACATGTCAGCAACTTCCATACGTGCAAACGAGGCTTGACGAGCCACCACCCTCGCGTCACAGAACTGAAAAGCCTTCTGAGACCATCTCCGATGTCCAGAGTTTCTTGTTGGGGTCAAGTTCAGCTGTATCTTACAAGATTTTTTTTGGCAACCTGTTTGATTTGCCGCAACCTTTGTTTTTCTATGTGTTGCCTATGTCATCCCTATAGGCCAGGCGTGCGCGAGCGATGCAATTTGCAGTGCGGGTGGAGGGCTTGCCTGATGCTGTCGCTGATGGGGAGGTGGGGATTTTGTCAAACGCATTTGTTTTGAAGCGGGTTTGACCAACAATACATAGCAGGGTTGATCAACGAGAAATTTCCCATATGTATCCATATGTAAGAGTCCCCAGGCTGATCGCGAAGCTTCTGAGCATGAGTCCGATGCACCACTTGATGATGGCAATGTCTCTGACAGAGATGAACATGGTGATGATGATGTTGCTAGTACGGACGCGCAGGAGTCTGACGAGAGTGATGGTGAGGGAAGCGATGATGTTGAGGTGGTGATTGACCCTGCCTTCAACCCAGAAATGCATCCTGACAATCAGCTTGGCATTTACCCGGAGAAGTACCCCCCGGCATCTAGCAGTGATGAGAGTGATGAGGGTGACGCTGAGTCTGGCGAGAACTCTGTGGACAATGGCACGACTTTGGTTCTGGGTGATGACATTGCTCCCTTGGCTGATGTTCCAAGCGACCATGAGGCTGAGAATGCAGGAGTGGATGATGGTGAGAACCTGGTGACCCCTCCAAAGCGTGCTGCTACTACTGATGCGGTGGCTGCTTGGCTATAGGTTCTGTGACCTTTAAATTGTTCCTCGCTTTCCCACCTCCAAAAGACAATAAAAGGTTCGAGGTAGTTTCTGTAATAAAATCTAAGCGCGTGCCGGCAGGATTGTGGCTCTTCGACAAAGATTCGCAAGACTCACAAGAATGGCCACGGCGCACTTGCTTCTTGGATTTGGGCCAAGTTGGAACTTTCAAAACCGTGGCACAACCAGTCTGTCAAAACAGTTTTACTTGGGGTATATATATATATACATGTATATTATATATATATTAAATGAATATTATATTATATATATTAAATAAATATTATATTATACATTATATTATATATAATATCATATATATATAGATATTAAACAAATATTATATTATATATATAAGATCATATATATATATATTCTATTATATATGATATATATGTATGTATATATATATATATGTATGTGTATATATATATATATAGGTAAGCCTTGGGTATAACCCCCAGGTTGGGTTATAATCAAAATAAGTTTGATTCTAGGCGCATGTTTCAGATCAATTCCACCCAGTAGTGTTGACTTGATTAATTTCCATCAGTTCCACTTTCCCAAGGACCCTACCGATCCGAAACTCCGTGAATTCCTTGACAGCATCGATGCTGGGAATTTATTTGGCACTATTTTTTGGGGTAACACTTTTTCTAGGGATGAATATAGGTATGTTTTTTGAAATCAAGATCCAACCATCCAATCTTCTCAGGATGTGGACATGGAAGCCTACTTTCGCAGGGACACTTCTAAGAACCCGAAGAGTGAGCCTATGGAACCGCCAGCCCCTAGTACCAATGCATTAATGTTTCACTTTCCAAACCCTAAAATGTTGATTTCCGTTGGGGCTTTTGTTTGCCCCCATAAGAATGAATTTCTGTATGTAGGGCCCCATGAAGTTTTATGAGTAGTTTATCGTTGAACCAAGAACTTGCCCCAAAGGCCTTGAAGCGTGGAGCGTCTACTGCAGACCTGGAGCCCCATGTTTTGGAGTCTGAGTACCCCGAGGATCCCAATGTATCTTGGTGGCTTTGAAATCCCGTCGCAATTTTATGGTCAAGGCTTCAAGGTTTTAAAAGTTTAAGGTCAAGAGTTGAATAGGTAACGGAATCTTCACCTTGTTTTGCAATGGCTTTCATCTCACACCCATTTCACAGATCGTTCTTCCAACATCAAACCAATCCAAGGCGAGGCGGCTCTTGAAAATGCAGGATGCCAAGCCTTCTCCCCATGCGACTCGGCAGCAGAAACTTGCAGCATGGCCTGTCAGGAGGTCTGAGAAGTGACGTGATGGGCTTCAAATCCAAAGTGGGTACCGCACGGTATAAGGTACAACTGTTTCAAGCTATGGTCATAACTCATAGCTCTAAGTTGGGAAAACATGCCCATTGAAAACTCTCCGAGTAAGAAGTGATCGCGTGTGTTAAATGTGTTTTTGAAATACACATAACTGTTTTGACATAACTATTAAATATACAAAATACATTTTGTTTTAATAGAAACCATCGGTTCTTGTAGGCGAGGAATGTGTGAATATTGTAAGCCTCTACATCTTAGACTTCCAAACATGGGTTTCCGCATTGTAACTTGGCCAGCAAACCTTTCCTCAGGCCAAAGATGGTGCTGCATCGATCCACGACATTTTGGGGATGACGGAGGACACCGAAGACAAGGATCGGAGATCTGTTGTGACACTTGACACCATCAAATTACCTCCCTCATTGCAGAAACCGAACTGGATGGGGCGAGTTGAAATTGAACTTCTCAGCGCATCACCCCCAGTGGTTGGAGCGCAGGCCATCGATTCCCAACATTTTGTTTGTACTTAAACCCCTAGCTCATGGGAAATACTTGAAGTAACTTTGAACCTGGCCCTCACCAATGACTTGTAGAATATATGAGCAGTAAAATCTCCAGTATGGTGCATATGCCATTTTGTTGTCCTTATATAATTTACCCGACGCCCCTTCAGGGAAATGAGAAGAAGCCCAAGAGCGCTGCTAAGAAGAACAAGGTGAAGAAAGGCAAGAAGAACAAGGCTTCTTTTCGCAGGTCCCATAAGAAGCGTCCCCGTGGAGAGCCATCCGTGGGGGATGATGGGGGTGAAGAAGAAGAAGCTGTTGTTCCTCATGCCAGCCCTGATGAACCACAGAGTGAATCTGAGGCTATCTGGCCCAAAAAAATGTTTGTGGTACACTAGGATTTGGCCATGGAAAATAACAACAATAAGTTCCAGCCTGTACTTGTAAATTTCATGGGCAGGACATGCCAGTATCATTATGCTTTTATGATATTCTATGTGAAGAAATGGAACAAACATGTTCTTCATCAATGCAAAGGAACATTTAGTCAAAGGAATGGGACACCCCCCACCCCGAACCACTGCCCCTTAGGAGGGACGCTCGTACAATGGGTATTCGCTGAAAGGATTGCCGAAGAATGCGTTGCCGTCTGGCAACAACAAGGGTGCGCACAGCTACACGGTCCACCGTGGAGCGAGCAGGATTGAGGTTCTGCTTCGATCGAAAGCCTTTTACATCAAGTCAGGTTCGAACAAGGGCCAGATCACATGGAGCAAATTCCCGACAATTAAAGACGCTTGGATCTCCGCATGCACCAAAGCGGGGGTGCTCCCATAGCGGTCCAACTGTTTTTGAAAGTTAAAGGTGGTTCCTGATCACAAGCCCAGCTGGCTTGTTGCAGTCGGGTTCCAAGGTTCCTATTTAGATTATATGGTGATTTGTCATGCATGGGGGTGGCTTAGAGATCCTTTCCAGCTCCAATGTCTAATGTTTGATGTCTCAAGAATCCGAGAGCATTCAAATGGTTCAGTGTCTTGTGGAAGGGTGCTTGCCCTCGCATGAAGTAGTGGGCAGTTCACTGGGCTACATCAGCTCTAGTGCTGGGTTTGGTTGGTGCAAAGCACCATGGTGCAGTCTATGTTAGGATGGCTAGCCGAAGCATTTGGTGATCATGTGAGGAAATAGAGATCAAGCATTCACGGGGACCCAAGACAGAATCACATGATTGTTTGTGCACATTGAATAGATATCTAAATATTGCAGTGAATTTCTGGTTCGAGTTTCTGAGACCCTTCTTTGCCCCATCGCTTCATTGCTTTTGGTCTTTGAATTATAGTTGTGAGCTATGGGAAAAAGGGTTCCTACCAAAGAGCGCGTCTACAAAGACTCCCTCAGTCAGACCCCTTCCTTTGACCGGCCTCGCAAAAAGATGAACTTCAAGGAAATCAAAAAGAGGAGCATCTTGGCAGGCCTTCGCACAATGAAGGCACCGGCTGTGGCTTGACCAAAGGGGGGGTCGGATACCCTGGTAAAAAATTACAATGGTATATGCAATATATATATATATACATATCTGTGTGTGTTATATATCAAATAGTGGCTATGTGGCTATGTATACCTTTATATGTATATATATATATATTATTTTTACCATGCATATAAATATAAATATAAATACATACATATCATATATACTATATACATACATATCATATATTTGTACAAATCATATATGTATAAATACATGTCAATATAAATAAAAATATATATATACACACGTCATAAATGAATATATATATATGTCATAAAATGAATATATATATATGTATGTATCAACAATTAAAAAATGGTTATATACCTATGTACTGGGATTGCCCTTTATCATAGGGGATGCTTTCTGGATAACCCATCACGGAATGCCAACAATCAATGGGGATGGTATTAGGAGATATGCTATCATATCGGTTGCTTCTGGAATGACGCAGTATCACACGAGATAGTTTCTGGATGGCCCCCAAAAATATTATGGAATTGATTATGTGGGAAAAGTGATGCCAAGGATTAGCAGAAGAACCAAGCCTAGTCCCATAGAAGGGGGTTCCCCGGAAATAGGTTCAACTATTACATAGTTGTACCTTTTTGTTTTGGAGAACACGTTACCTGCATGAAGGGTCCCCCAAATTCCTATACCTCTCTGAAAGCAAGGTGGTTGCGATGCTTGTCAGCATGGTGTTTGGCATGTCGTTCTTGGACTTCAGCCCTTCAAACCAGCTTCAACACCTTGAGCTTTTTGCTGGGGATTGCGCTGTATCCCGGGCTGAACAATGGGACCGGGGTTTGCCCAAACATTGCTTCATTCCCACCTTCAGCTAAACTTCAAAGTTCAAAATCATTACAGTAGAAGAAAGTAAAACTTTCCCATCCCTGCAGGAAGGCCGAAAAGTTATGGCCATGGACATCGCCTTTGGTGGAAGCAACATGGACCTACTCTCCCCCCAAGGATTCCTTGGAGCAATCTATCACGCATGCAGACTCGAGCCTGGGAGCGGCGCGCTTGCTGCACCAGTGTGCAGTAGCTTTGTGTTCGTGATCCTAGACCTGTGATATTGGGATGGCCCGTGGAGTCAATAATTTCAAAGTTGAAGGATGATATTTGTTTGGAAGCATAACCACGGATTGTCCCATCTTCGACTCCCCAAAAGGACTATGGTTTATATTTTGTTTTTCACATGCATACATACATACCTACCTACATACATACATACATACATGCATGCATACATACATACATGCATACATACATATACACATATACACATATACATATACATATGCAAAAACATGCAAACACACATACATACATAAGAAACAAAGAAACAAAGAAACAAAGAAACAAAGAGACAAAGAGACAAAGAAACAAAGAAACAAAGAAACAAAGAAACAAAGAAACAAACAAACAAAGAAACAAACAAACATACATACATACATACATACATACATACATATATACATACATACATACATACATACATACATACATACATACATACACACATACATACATACATACATACATACATACATACATTACATTACATACATACATACATACATACATACACACATACATACATACATACATACATACATACATACATACATACATACATACATACATATGTATATATATATAAGTAGATATAGAATTGATATCATATATCAGCCACTAACCAAGGTTCCTTGGTCCATCCAACCATATCGCAACTTAAGGAATAGAGGCACTTCTCGAAGAAGTTCCAGCAGGCCAATGGGAGAAGAGAGCTACCAAAGCGTGAGGGCTGGAAACGTACTTACGGCCAGAACATTGATTATCATGATGATTTGTCACGCCCTTGGATGCTTTTGGTGTTTAGAACAACCAAAAGGGTCACTCATGGAAGAGCTGCCAGTTTTCCAGCAATTCCTGAAGAAAATCCCTACTTGGAAGCATTGCTTCAACATGAGAGACTATGGTGCTGCATCCCAGAAACCCACGTGGCTCTATGCAAGCAACTTGATTCCAAGCTAGTAGACTGCAAGATGTTTTCTCTGTTCACAAGAATCTATCAATCTGTTTGACTAGCTCCATTCAAGAAATCTGTTGTTAGACAATTCGTTTTGAGTAAGCATGTGGATCCCATTGTGAGGAATGGCTATGTCGATCCCAAAGAACAAAAGCATTATTGAATCCTTACACCTGCGTAACCCTTTCCAACTGGCATGAGGTGAGGAAATCATCAACGAGCTGCCTTGCTTCAAACCAAAATGGTTACCAGAGATACCAGCGGCCGAAATGGTGGTGAAGTATGTGGACGGGAGCGGCAAGGAGAGGGTGAAAGGTGGATCTCAGTTGAAAAGCAGCCAATCATACCCCTTGCCGTCCCTAGTACCAATTGATTGTCTTTTGCATGTCACCACATAAAGGATTTCTATCCCACAACTTACAGGTGCACTTGTGTTTCAAATGGGTATGCTATGTTGCTATCCCCCAAATAGGGAAATCCATCAAGCTGGGGACCCTGGCTTCTTCGTAGTAGTGTCCACAAGGCACATCCACCAAGCCTGCCATAGTGTTGGGGATGCCCTCTTAGGTTTGGGAAGGCAATGTCTCGATTGAGAACTCGTCATCAGGGCGATGTGCGAAAAAAAGCTAGGGATACTTTGAAGCGAAACCTGAAGAACCACAAGCTCATTCCGCAAAACAAACGGGCCAGCGCTGCATGGATAAAATATGCAGAGCTTGACAGTGTTTTTGATTACCTGGCCTAAGGCCTTAACGGTAATTGCACTCCTAGAGCCAGGGTAACCAATCCTGTTCAATTTGCAAGTTGGAACTCCCAACTTTGTTCCATTTGTGTTCTCGACTTTGAACGCGTGGCTGGGGAAAAGCTCGGAAAACAATGCCAATCAGGAACCAAATTTTTGCAACATGTCTAAATATTGTGCCTATAATGAAAAGGAATCTGAAATGCTTCTCTCTCCAACACCTTGGGCCATTGACCCATGGCCCCCCAGCCATGTCTTGCCATGCCTCAAATCTGCAGGCCAAAGATGGGAAGATTCGTCCTCAAGCATGCGGTCAAAGGTGCGCCCCACCCATGCTGCGCTGGGATGTACATGGAAGTGGATATCAAACATGTTCTGGTCCACACTGATGTGGTTTAGATCTTTTTGTATCATTTTTTACCAAAAATGGAAAAAATCAGCCACGTGGTGTTGAGAAATTGGCCGCGTGGTGTGTAGAACAGCCACGATGTGTGAAATCTGAACATCCAGGGATAGATCTGTAATATCTGTAGCCATTTGTTAGAGTATATTTACTTGGTTCTGTCTGGCCAATCAGCCAGGAACACACCACATGGTTCTGTATGTATTACTCAGCCACGAAATGTATTTATTCATTTATATCTGGGATTATATTTGGGCAGCCGCGAAATCATCCAGTCAGCCACGAAATCCAGGGGTATCTATATATATATGTATATATATATATATATGTATACATACTTGTTGAAATCTTTCATAGTTGAAACTCATATTTTGGAATTTTGCCATTTCCCTTCCCTTCACCACTCTGCCTTTCATAGAGAAAGTTGTCCTCGCTGGCCTGAGCCCATCCAGTGCTCAGACTTGCCGGTTTTTGGACCAATGGGAAAGAGTACAAAGAAGGAGGACATGAAGCCTGTCAAAGGTGTAAAGAAGGGGAAAGTAAAGAACGAAAGTCATAAGAAAAAGGAGCAGGACACACAGAAGGTCTCGAAGCCAGTGAAGCCTTCGAAGGTGGCAAAGAAGGAACATGGCAAGAAGACGACAGACAAGAAGGACAGAGATATGAAGGGTTCAGAAAAACGAGCAAAGGGCAGCAGCAGCGACAAGGTGACCAAGAATCACAAGAAGACCCCGGAACCTGTGCCAAAGAAAGACAAGAAGAGCAGCAAGAAGACACCTGAGGCTTCCCAAGTGGGCACCGCAGCCAAGCCTTCAATTATGAAGAAGCAGTCCAACCAACCTCCAGCAGAGCCTCCTACCCGAAGGATCAGCTTCAAGCAGCCAGCAGAGACAAGCCCATCGACGCCCCCTGACAAGGTTCGACGCCTCTCTTCTCCGACTCTTTCTGTGGCTTCAGAGGACTCCTTGGCCAAGTTGAAGATGGAAGCCAAGGAAAAGAACATGGAGTTCGCAGACTACCTGCAGCACCTGTCCCGTGAGCAATTGGACAAGGAAGTTGAAGCACACATGACATGCCTAGTGGCTGAACAAGGTGGGGAGAAAGATGAGGAGAAGGAAGGCGAGGAATCAGACGGAGATGAATCCGACCCAGGGGAAGATGAGGCAGCCTCTGACCCACCGGACTCAGAGAGCAGCGAAGAGAATGACAAAGGGAGTGACAGTGACATGCCAGACCAGCTTGATGAACCAGGCAGTGAGGAGGAGGATACAGGATCAGAAGACAGCTCAGACACTGGGAGTTCAGACAATGAGGACATAGAGGACCAGGTCAATGCCTTGGTGCCATATGCAGACCAAGCAAAGAAGGACACAAGCCAAGCTGCAGCAAACCAGGCAGACAGCAAGATTGACACAGAGAAGCAGCAGCAGCAGCAGCAGCAGCAGCAGCAGCAGCAGCAGCCAACGACAACCCCACAGGGCAACGAAGCTGCTTTGCAAGTGGCAGTGCAAGAGCAGCGGCTGGTGGGCGAAAAGCAGGTGCCAGTCAAAGAAGCAAACAGCTCCTGATCATCATTAGACCACCAATCAATATTCACATGTGTATATATCTATATTTGCATATAGATGTTATCAAAGAAGGACCACCCCCCATTAGCGGAACCAATATCAATATACACGGGCATACACGCACACACACACATATATATATATACATACACAAGTATGTATGGATTTATTCACATGTATGTGTGCAAAGATATGTAAGACATGGATACATGCACACATGTGAATATATATATAAACGCAAAAATACAGATATGTATATATATATATGTGTGTGTGTGCATGCACATGCAATCATATATTTATGTTTATCTATATTTTCCATTGGCCCAGGTTCTAATTGCAAGAGCGACTGGGACAAGTTCAGCAGACAATGCTTGGACCGGAAACGTTTCCCGATATCGCTGGCGGCCCATTACCAGCGAGACAAATTAGACTTGTTTCGAAGCTGGCTATCTGCCAATGAGGATTGGTCCAAGCCACTTGTCTTTAATTCAACCAGTGCCCACAACATTAAGCGCCCCAAATGGGTTTGTCCACAGGGAAGATGAAGGGTGAACCCCTACACAGACTTAAATGATAACACAGGACATGATGGCAAACCCCCCCAAAAAGGGTCTGCGTGAGAATGGGATATTCTTCTTGACATGGCAAGATTTCAAAAACGGAAATGATGTTGAATCCACCAAAAAGGGCTAGTGGGAACATGAACTGCGTCCTGCAATCGAAATATTTCAATGAGGGACATGACGTAAGCCCCCACAAAAGTTGATAGTTTCCATGATAATGGGATTTGCAGCCAGGAATAAAAATTTCAATGCGGAAAGTATACGGTGTACCCAAGTGTTCCCCCCAAATTCAACAAGCTTCTATTGAACCAAAGTTTCTATGAAGGTGTTTATCTTCAGGGAAGGGATTGACTTGTAGAATTTCAGCACCCCAGTTGTTGCAGTTTAGTCTTCCAAATCTTTGTGGGTCCACCTTATTGGCTTTTCAACTTCTTTGACAAACAAACCGACCGAACTAAGGGTCGAAGTTGAACTTCTTCGAAAGGCGGAGACCCGAAACACTGCGACAAAAAAAAGGGCTGGACAAAAGGCCAGGGATTTGCTGAAGCTTTACCCCGAGGCTAAAGCGAAGGACTTGATGGCACGTCTTCGCACCCAGGGGCTCTGGGCATGGGATGAAGATTTTGAGAAGGATGAAGAGGATTGGGGTGAAAACAAAAAAACAAAGATATATTTTGGGTGGTTTCAAAACGAAGTTCACAACTTCTTCAGCTATTAAACCGGCATTATCTACCCATGGTAATGAAAATCCAGTGCCCACATGGTTTTAGCAGCAATCATCCCTTCATCAAGTTTTGGCCAGGAGATTTTCTACTTCACCAACATGGGGTCTTCCTTCAAGAAGGAGGACATGACCAGTGAATCCCTTCAGGTTAAGGTCACTGAGAAAGGCAACCGAGAGCTGGCTGAGAGTCTCACGGTGGAAGGTGGTCCGCTGCAAGCGGGCTTGATGCCGTCGATGCCTGTGGCAGATGAGAAGAAATTGCTTGAGACTCTCACCAGTGAACCAGTAGAGTCTGTGGGGGTCAAGAAGAAGAAGGCAAGCAAGGATAAGACTGAGGTTGCCGAACCAAAGACCTTCTCTGAGTCAAAGCCTCAAACTTCCATTTCGATGATCATGTAGACTGGAAAGGTAAATAGCCCTACAAGACACCAATCACTGTAATGCCAAAAAGTTTGCAACATCCCATTGAAAGGTCTTACACGGATTTACTTGTGCAAACTGGCCCAATCCCTTCTTGACTCAATCGCCTCCACCTTCTTCCAGCTCAGGGTGATCACGGAGAAGATGCAGGATTGCCTGAAGGAGAGTGGTGAGGCGAGAAAATATGCCATCTCACTCCAGAACCTTGAGTACACAGGAGACCTGGCATCGAAGCTCATGAATTTCTCAGCAAAGATGGAGACAACGTACCAGAAGTTGGCTGACTTGATTTCCAGGAAGGTCCAGGACTCACAACAGTACGTCAAGTATTTGGAGATAATTGAGGACAAGCTCAATTGGTATGAAAAAGCCAAGGTGTGGATCAACCCCGGGGGTTGGGGGTGTCACCTGTGTAGGTGAGTGAATATATATATATAATATCATATCTATATCATATGTTTTAAATATTACTAAATCAATCAGGCATATACTTTGATATATACAAAAATAATATATATATATATAATGTATATAAATAGATATATGTAAATACATACATCCATACATGCATGCATACATACATACATACATACATACATACATACTTTCATATTTTCATACATACATACGTACATACATACATACATACATACATACATACATTACATAATTACACACATGCATACATACATGCATGCATACATGCATACATGCATACGTAGATAGATCGATAGATAGATAGATATCTAGATAGATAGATACATAATATATGATCACAACATATATACATAAATACATCCAAGCCCCGTGCATATCAAATGCATCAAGTTTTCTGCGCCTTCCAGTCTTACCCACAGGCATCTGCGAAGGCATTGGCGAGCGGGTTGAATCCACGGCCTAAGAAGAAGGTGAAGAAGTCAAGCAAGGACAAAGGAGCTGGGAAGGATGGGGCGGCTTCTGAAAAAGCTACCACGCCCTGAAACATGGGGCCGTAGGCTGTAGCTGTGAAGTATTGCCGTGGTGACGGTGGTGTGGGCCTATCTGGATATATCTGTTTGGTCATCAATTGGGGTGCTATGTCAATGTATGTCTTTCCTACTCAACCCCTGCAGTTCTGATGTGTTGTTTTGCAGAAAGTGCACACGCCAAATCCTGAAACATTTTGGTTGCTGATGGAATCCAGCAGGATTCATGCCTTTCTCGGAAGTGATAGCTGTGGTCTACAGGGGTGACAATCACATGGGTTTGGGTTTTATCTCAAGAACAAATCACAGCATGTATCTTTTGCATTTGATCATGTCTTGAAACATCAAATCTGTTTCTGAAGTCTTAAGGCTGTTTCGCAAACCGAAGCGCCCCTTGTGATTGCCGGGTTGTCTCCACTAGAGCATTTCCCATGAAAGAGCGTGACCATTCATGAAGCAAAGCGATTGAAAAAAAAACATGCAGTGCGATACCCTAGTCAAGCCGGAGTTCAGGATTGTCCCATCCATGATCTACAGTCTCCAGGGGTGTATCTGGGTGCTCACACCAAGGGTCTTCTTGTCAATGTCATCCCCTCGCAGGTCAGACGGCAACCTCGGTGAAGCGCTGCAGAGGCAAACGCTTTGAGGCAATGTCGAGGTGTGAAAGTGCTGATGTGTACTTAAGAGCCTGGGCGTGTATAAACCAAAAATATTCCCATAAGATGCAACGGGCTTTTTATCCCCACTGTCTCCTGTGGAACTTGCTCATTGAGAGATTCACCAATTTGAAATCAATGTTTTGTTCGACAGGTCAAATGGGATTATGAAAGCTTACCTGCAATATCCAACTTCTGGGTTCTAAGGAATGATTGGATCTGGTCGGGCATCTATCGCAGAAATCTGCGAAATTAGCCGTGCTAATGTCGCTGATGGGTCCAAAGCGGAAGCTTTACACAGCTTGAAGTCACTGGGTACAGGAGGGAAACACCAAAGTAACCAAGAAAGAGATCTACACCGATGGTTAGAGGGATTGCATTCCATGCGCCTAAAGCCATTCACTGTTGAGCTACTCCTCAATGCATCTTGGGATTAAACCATACTTTTCAGGTTTGGCTCAAAGTGAATCTGTAATGAAATAGTTTTCACATGAGGTCATGTCCACCTGATCAACTTGTATTCTTTGAGCCAAACAGAACATGTTTACTCTTTCCCAAAAGTGTTGTATCTTCAAAGCCCCTTGGGATTGCGTAATGCGAGGCTCTTCTGATTAGGGGTTCCACCGCGTGTCCACGCTCTAGGTTCCTGGCGAATCCGAAGCTGTACCTCACCAAGTTCCGATTCTCCTGCCGCACGAGATCTTTGATGCTGTGTGGCACGCTGGTGCTTTTCAGGACTGGGAATTTAAGGGTTGCAGCATATATATATATACACATATTTATATATATATATAAGTTTATTTTGTTTAGATAAATGTATATGCATATATATATATATGTATAGATATAGATATGTTCATGTGTCTAAATCCTGTTTCCCCAAAAAAACCTTTTACACACATATATAAATACTTAAAAATATATGTGCATGCATGGATGCATGGATGGATGGATGCATGCATGGATGCATGTATGATGTATGATGTATGATGTATGTATGTATGTATGTATGTATGTGCATATAACAATATAAACGCACATGTAGAAATAGAATCAATGACATATGATAATGATCTTGACCTATCTTTCGGATCCCTGCAGTTTGAACGATCAATGACTGGCCATCGAACTGGTGAGACCATCGCTGACTTCTGGGATCATTGCCAACAGTTTGAAGAATGGAGGGACCACCCCTGTTTGAACGATCCATCAATCCCGAAAAGCCGTTCCTGGGATTTATCTTCAGGACTTATATTATACTTGTGTGTTTTTTGATAGGGATTGCAGGTTGCAGGTTATCTGAGATCTCCTGTATCTAACTGATGATCTGATGGGTTCACACCTGGAAATAGATGTAATGGGTATGTATATTTGCAATGTCAATGGATAAAAGGGTTAAGTTTTACACCAAACGCATTTTTTGATTCAACCCTCCTGCAGTCAAGGTTTGATTCCACTCTGTGTTCACAACGACGGTGCTGAATTCTATTCAAACTCTGAGTACGAAGTCTACAGCATTGGAAGTCTGTTTTCCCAGGGCAGCGTTTGGGATTGCAAATTTCCATGTGTCACTGTGGGGCATTGTCAAATGCACGATGTATCTACCAAACAGAAGGTCAACCAAACAGTCGCCCAGATTTTCTCCTGGTCCCTCAAAAGCTGTGCCAGCGGCCTGTGGCCAGCGACAGGTCCAAATGGGGAGGAGTTGTTTGGCTTCCGTAAGGAAAGGGCAGGGACATGCCTTGCAGGTGGATGGAGGAGTTGTTTCTTTGGGTTCCGTTCTGATGCCAAAGCTAGAAAAAATGCAAACGAGTTTCCAAGGTCTTACCAACATAGTTTGATCTGCGAAGCTTGCTTAGCTCAGAAGCAACACAAGAATTGGGAGCCGCTGTTGAACTACAAGAACTTTTATGGTTCTGCAGGGTACCGAATGACAACCATTGGTTCATTGGCATTATACATGTGGTAATGTTTTATGTGTTGTTTTTTTGAATGTCTATATCTCATACTTTTTCCTCCCCCTCTCTCTCTCTCTATGTATCTATGTATCTATGTATCTATGTATCTATCTATCTATCTATCTATCTATGTATGTATGTATGTATGTATCTATGTATGTATGTATGTATGTATATATATATATATGTATTTACTCTTATTTGGATTTTTGTGCTTCTTACAGTTTCCATTCTTTCATTTACATGTCCCACCATGCAGCTCGTCCCAGGCATGGCAGACTACGTCGCTGGCACCAGGCCTCTATCTCCATGGAGGTGCGTGGATGGATGGCACCTGGGAACCGTTTTCCATGACCCGATGCATTTCCTATACTTGGGGACTTTGAGGGATCTCTATGCAAGTGCGTTGGGATATTGGCTCCGAAATGGTTACTATGGGGATGGGACGATGCCTCAAAAGTTGAGGGCCTTTTCCAAAGACCTCAAAGATCAATCCCGCCGAGAAAGGTCCTTTGGTAAGGTTTAATGTGATTATTTTTGGTTGGGTTCCCCTTTTTATTTTCATATGGGAAGCCCTTCAAATCGATGTTTGGTGCAATCTTCAAAACAATATGTGTGTGGGATGGTGTCTCCTATTGTGGCACCCTACCTTATATTTTTTTTTAAAAAAATGGGCAAACCCCCTGGGAAAACCCCCAAATTGTGAAAGCATGTTTAGGACATCAGCTTGTTTGTTTCCAAATAGCCAGAGTCCCAGGGTCATTCTTACGTGCAAGACCTTCACACTGGCGAACACGGGTTTGGAGAAGCCAAACCAATACCCAGAAATTGGCTCTGCATTCAAAGCGGCATTTATGAAAGGAGCTATGTGGTTCTTCACCAAAATTGCCATAGAGTTGGCCGAAGCAAACCCAGATGATACTCACTGAAATTCAGATACGCACCGCAGTTGGAGATTTCGTTTTTAAAACCATGTAACTATATAGAGTGATCGAATATATAAGTCGCAAACGAACCTACCTAACGATAGGGCACTGCCTTGTAGAAACTCGCAATCCAAAAACCCCTAACATCAGGGTTGAGTGGGGTCTATTTTTGTTCCCGAGTTTTTCCAATGGTATCCCTATAATGGTATTAGGTCCTTAGGTTTTGGTGAATTCCATCTTGCTTCCCACGCCCAGGATGAAATCTTGAGACTTATGGCAGTGTGCTTCTGGAATCTTTTCAGCGCATTGGTTGTGCTGGACCAAGCTGACATTCTCTTACGTGATGAGGATGCTAAGGAGCCACAAAACACTCCCCCAAATATGGCATTGTTTTGAATCATCAGTCATCTGTTGACACAATATTGTCAAAAAACATGTCCAGAAGAGGTGTTTTCTGTTCAGACCCTTCAACATGCCAAATCACCTTTTGATTTTATGTGGTTTACATGCCCCCCTCTTCCCAAACATTGATGTTGGAATTCATTCAGCCCTTCAACCTATTTTTCAGGGGCCAAGATCATTTGACGGAGGAGTTCAATGACTACATCCAGATCCATCTTATCGCGTGGCAGCATTTGGCAGCCATTTGTGAGGGGAAGGCCTTGAGACTTTTCAAACTGAGGCCCAAACATCACCAATGCGACCATACTCGGACGCAAACCGCCCGAACAAAGTTAAACCCTAGAAGGGTAATGCAATGCTTTGGTGATGAAAGTTTTTTGGGGTATTGGAAACAGATAGGTGTGAAATGTCATGCCTCCTCTGTCTTGACTCGTATCTACCAAAGATACTTGATGTTTCTGAGTCTTCGCTGGCGAGATGTCAGGGGCGATTGACTACACTGGGCGTGTGCTTGAAAAACAAAGAGGTTGTACTTTGACACTCCAATTTCATGCGTTGACTTGTTGATTTGGGTTTGTCTCAAAAATAGGTTTTACCACCACACTTCACTTTTTACACCTCACAAGTGGTGATAAGCTTTTGGGTTTTGGGGATGCCTGTATTTTTGAGACAAACCCTTTTTGAACCACATGAAGCGGTTGATGCGCCGGCCACAACCATTGGATTTCACAGCGCGTGATTGTTGGGCAACCAAAGTGGTGGGAGTGTTAACCCGATGTTTATATATAGTGTTTGATCATTTATTTATTTAATTACCTATTTATTGATTTTTTATTTGCCTGTGATAATCACACTTAGCGATGAAAAATCCTCCCTTCTCAAATGATTTAAAATCATTCCCCTATATTTCTATGGGATTTCCCTATATTTCATCACGGTTTTTATGGATTCCATTGTTCAAACAGGGCGGCACAGAGCAAGTGCTTCTCAAGGAGTTTTCACCCCATGTTCATCGATTTTAACTGTAGAATCCCAATCTCCGAATTTCGCCTTGGAAAAGAGTTTCGGCTTTCAAAAAAAACATTTGCGTTATTCACATATATAATTATCATAGAATTGGATGAATTGAAAACTTACAGGGAACCCCTTTATTTGATGGTAAAAACCATGGTTTCCGGTTCAGATTTTCATCTGTATATATATATATACACATATCAAACAAGTCCCCAGAAGGGTCTTCATGCATCATGGGATTATGTCTATTTCCTGTTCGGATTCTGCATATGATGCTTTATCATTGAATTTCAACATTACAAGCCGAATAATGGAAACCCTGTGAACCAACATATGTGTATAGCAAATCCACATATATGTTTGAGTCCATGAATATACACCATTTACACACACATATACATATATTTATACCCACCCTTTTATCTATCTTCCACAAAATCATGTCTAAAACTAACAGTACTAACATGATTCCCAAATATGAGCAGAAGGATGTGGTGAACATTCAATCACTCATTGGTTATTGTTGCAACTGTTCTGTCAGTGCCCACTGTTTTATTTTGATTGAAGCTAGCATTGGCTTCAAGCCATGTTGTTTTTCACTGCTATCATGCAAGCAATGATATTTCCTCTGACAAGCAGCTGTTTGCCCTGTTTTTTTTTGCATCTTGAGCCAAAAGTGGTGACGTCAACTGTACATCGAATGCGATGAACATTGTTGAGTTTCGAGCGTTGCCCCCTGACAGCGCTTTGTGCGTTGTGCTACGACAGCTGAGCGTGCTACAAAGTGACACTTTCGTGCCTGCTACGGAAGCGTCGATGCCTTCAGCATGTTTTAAACGCTATCGTTTGAAAGTTTCAGCATTTAACGCCATGTTCAAATTTTCTTCATTTCTTCAAAACTTCACTTGTTACGAAAAATCTTTTGTAAACTTTTCAACATGTATATAAAATTTCTTTTGAAAATCAATATTTCCGACGACAGCGCTTTGTGCCTTGCTCTACGACAGCTGAGCGTGCTACAAAGTGACACTTTCGTGCCTGGCACGGAAGCGTCGATGCCTTGCAGAATGCTTTGACCGCTATCGTTTGAAAGTTTCAGCATTTAACGCCAATGCAAAATTTCTTCTATAAGTTTATTTCATTTGGTACGATTTTGTTTGGTAGCTTTTTTTGAAACATGCATTCTTTTTGAAATATGTTTTTCCGACGACAGCGCTTTGTGCGTTGTGCCACGACAGCTGAGCGTGCTACAAAGTGACACTTTCATGGCTGCTACGGAAGCGTCGATGCATTCAGAATGCTTTAAACGCTATTGTTTGAAAGTTTCAGCATTTAACGCCAATACAAACTTTCTTCAAAATTTCTTGAAACATTTATTAAGGAAAAAATTGTGCAAACTTTTACATATAAAATTGACATCTATCTTTCCGACGACAGCGCTTTGCAACTTGGGCTATACGACAGCTGAGCTTTAAACGCTATCGTTTAAAAGTTTCAGCATTTAACACCAGTTCAAATTTTCTTCAAACTTCACTTGTTATGAATATAATCTGTTCTAAACTTTTGAGCATGCATATAAAATTATTTTTGAAAATTTATATTTCCGACGACAGCGCTTTGTGCCTTGCTCTACGACAGCTGAGCGTGCTACAAAGTGACACTTTCGTGCCTGCTACGGAAGCGTCGATGCCTTCAGCATGTTTTAAACGCTATCGTTTGAAAGTTTCAGCATTTAACGCCAGTTCAAATTTTCTTCATTTCTTCAAAACTTCACTTGTTACGAAAAATCTTTTGTAAACTTTTCAACATGTATATAAAATTTCTTTTGAAAATCAATATTTCCGACGACAGCGCTTTGTGCCTTGCTCTACGACAGCTGAGCGTGCTACAAAGTGACACTTTCGTGCCTGGCACGGAAGCGTCGATGCCTTGCAGAATGCTTTGACCGCTATCGTTTGAAAGTTTCAGCATTTAAACATAAATACGACTTGAATTTTTTTTTTGGTTTTTCTTCTGCAAATATATTTCTTTTTGCAGATGTAAAAAAAATAAATGTTGTCGTAGCAGTTGCATGTTTTTTTAGATATGCATGTGTCATCTATACGACAGCAACGACATCATCCACAACCAACGAAAGCTGTTTGATGATACAGCTCTCGTATGTTGAACCAGTTGTCCTCAGTGCAGCGTTGGATCCTTACGGCTTGATCACTCGATCTGCGAGATCGACGGAGATGACGACCTTGCCGTCTCCGGCGTGGAAGCTTGTGAAGTGAATCTTGGAGCTGACACTCATGACGTCCGACGTCTCATGTTAGCTGAATGCCGCATTGCGGTTTTTCATATCTCTTCATACGCATGGAGTTCTGCCTATAAAGAAACGTGCCAGAAATGGCTCCAATTTGTCGCAAGCTGTATTGAACATCAGTGTGACTTTTTGTCCGGTGACGGGAATCTTTTCGCACAGCGAAGCTTTAAGGCAGACGATCACTCCGACTACCGGACATGTATTTTAATCGACATTTTGGAGCGTTTCCTTCAGCAGATTAATCTTCACCGCAGCCCGATAAACCGTATTACGTATAACGTAGTTTCTTCGACCACTGCAGCCAATTACATCCGCAGTATGCGTGGAGATGATTCTGATTGTGATTCAATGCTTTTAATTTCTCTTTGTTACGGTAAGCAGATCGCTGTCACGGAAGCACGTGCAAAAGAAGAATCAGCCTCTGCCGATGGATTCGCAGGATCTGCCTTCTCCGACGAAGTTATGCTGAACGATGTTGAACAGCTCAAACATTTGATGGCATACGACCTTGGTTTGGCAGAAAAGGACTGTGCATGGCACTCACCTCTCCTTGCCTACGCCCAGTTGAAGGCACTGAAAAATATGCGCATCCGATCCAAGGAATCTGAAGATAAAAGACGTGAAAAATGGATGCAGCGAACTCAAGGATATCTCGAAAAACGAGAAGAGAGGAGAGATAGTGTTCCGCCACTGCGGACTGACTCACACCGAAATGTTGGACGCACTCGAAGTCGATCGGTCAGCAGGACCAGAACATATCGACCCAGCACCACCTCCGGCACCTGTGCGAGGTCCAGCAGCTAAGGCCAAACCAGCTGAACCTGTGAAATATAAAGCTGCACCGAGATCCTTGAAGGAATCACCAGCTCCGACGTCATCAGGATCTTCCTCTAGTGCTAGGCCGCCTGTAAAGGCTCCTCCAGTTCCGGTTCCCGGACGAACACTAGGTTCACAGCAGCCAAGAACGCCTCCTGATCCACCGGGACCGCCGAAGACTCCACCGCCGTGGAGAGAGAGATCACAGCAGGCTGAGCAGAGGCAAACGACCAGAAAAAGGCCGATCAACGTACCTGAGCCTCCTGCGCCTCCATCCCGAATATCGGGTTCACAATGGCTTGACCAAGGAACAGCTTCCAGCTCTTCCGGACACCGTAATTACGGTTACAGCTATGATCAGCCGTCGCACTACAGAGTAAATCCCAACACCACTCGAGTAGAATACGTCCCAGGGTACCAGGTACCCAGACAGCGTTGGGTCCAGAAATGCGACGGATCGTGGCTCGACATGATCCCTCAAACACCGGATCAGTCTATTTTCTTTCATCAGACAGGTGAACACCGTAGGCAAAACGAGTTGAGTTTTTACGGTTACTATTTCACTATGGGCTTGTAGCCCCAGAAAAATTGCAATGTTCCGCATTTGCGGTCGCTTTCCACAGTAGAGAATACCGCTTTCCAACAGCGGAGAGTAGCTTTTTGTACAGTTTTGTTTTTGTCTTCGGACCGTCTCACAGCAGATCACAGGCTGAGCGCTACCTGTGAAACAGACTTGCATGTTCCGACACGAAGAAAATTTGTGTCTGTTTGTGATTTATTTTGTTTTACGTGTCTTCACAATGCATTCATGCATGTTGACATGTACACTTAATTCATATCTTTCATGCGCACTCCGCATGGCTCAAGACTAGCAGCAATTCCGCGTGTAGAAAAAGAGTGTAGTCGCTTCTGCTTGCCACAGGTGTTTACTTAGGTTTCCAGGGCTCCCTTAAAGGGGAAAGCTACCTCACCCCCCCCTTAAGCCCCCCCCTTAAGCCCCCCCTTAAGCCCCCCCTTAAGCCTTCAGACCTTCGTCGGGGGGGGGGGGAAGGGGGGGGACCCTTCGGGGGGACCTTAAGCCCCCCCTTAAGCCCCCCCTTAAGCCCCCCTTCGTACGAAGGGGGTGGGCCCGGCCTCGGTCATTCCATTCTTACTGGTGATTTACTGGTGATTTAATGGTGATTTTTCTGGGATTTAACAATCAACGATGGGGATCATTGGGGATAGATTTTTCTGGGGAATTAGCCTCCGGTAAGTTTTCACCACTTGCGATGAAAAACCAATGGTCATAGAAAGTTCATTGATTTACCCACCAAAAATGCTAGTGATTTCCAGTTCGCAGACTGTAAACGTAAA